TCTTTAGATTATTTTGTTAGTAAGTCATCGTCCGAGAATATGGTGAGAGATTTATCGATTTTCAAGAATGAACTACCTGCAAGCAATATTATCGGGGCTCAAATCTACTTGAGTTGGATAGATATAGATATTAGAATCTTATGATCTTGAGCTTGTAGAATAAGTAGTATTAACTCCAATTACATTGGAACAGTATTAACTATGTTATTTTTCAGAAAAAAAAATGATACACACTTATATGTTTGAATGCCATATAATGTTCATGATTGTGATCAAAAATGTCGATTGTGCACAAAACTAATTATCATACCCTTCACCATCTTCGAATAGTACTTACTTCTTACTTATGTTTGATCCCAGATCAATAACAGCTCATGTGATTCAAATTGAGCAAAGCCTTCAATGTAAGATGCGCTATATCGACAGTATCTATCAGTATACCGATCATCAAGCGATAGTAGTTTGATATTTAAATGTTTAGACTATCTTTTCACGATCATTCTACTGCTGTATACCGATGGTATTACAAGTAAATACGCAATATTACAGTTTTTCAAATCGTTTTCAATATGATAATTATTATTATTTTCATTTTCATTCATCCACCATCAATTTAAGTTTCTGTGAAATAATGATATGAAACGCTTCGATTTTCATAGCATTTTTTATTCTAACTCATTGATAATAGTAAGATGATATAAATAAAATAAAAAGAGCTACATAAGCCTTCTTTTTATTTATCATGATGTATAACTTTTTAGTTCTGTGATAAGATTAAGTATCCTAGTGTTAGTGATAAAAATAAATGAACATTGCTTTTGGATAATATTAAAAAAAGACAAATTTTATTTTATTTTCTCTTGATTCTTTTTTTAACACTTTTTTTCTCATGAATTAAGATTTTCTTCATTCATGAAAGATTAAGATTTTCTCATTGTCATTTGTCACCGATAAAGATTTTCTTTATTTTTATCTGGCACATAAAGATTTTCTTTATTTTTATCTGGCACATAAAGATTTTCGTTATCTTTATTTGTCAAAGATAGAGATTATCTGTATGTTTATTTTGAGGAAATATTAAAAATGAATTTACACGTCTATTTCCCATATGAGTTTCTTTTCTAAATGTCAATCATTTCATTTTCTAGAAAATTGCTTGCAACTGAATTTTATAGAATTAACGGCAAAAAAATTGCATATCAACAGGTATTAGACTATTTATCCTACATTGATTGCCATTGTTTTTCTTTCTGTCCAGAATTAGAACACTACTAGTTTAAAAAAAAAAGGCTTTCATAATGTTAATCAGTTGAGTTTAAATCAATCAAGTATTTGTTCTGTAAAATTATAGCTGTATTCGTTATGTTCAATTTTGAGAATGAACGCGGTAATTAAGAAGAATCAGACGTTATTTTTCTTTTAAATGCTTTGATTACTCCTAAAAAGGCAAGACCTTTTGAAAATCTACAAAACAGGTAGTAGATTTTTTTGTTATAAAACAGCATAAGAACACCTAAACATAGTAACCCAGTCAAGTGAATAATGAAGAAATAGTCATTAAAATGCTTTATTACTTGTAGCTAGCCCATTTCGACTATTTAAAATACATCTTTTCAAATAAATAATGGTGAAATGGCCATTAAAACGAATAAAAATTCATTAATGAATAATTTTGGCCATTTCACAATTACGGATTCTGTTTTTTTTTTTAGTTTTAAACTGATTTGAAAAATGTTTATAACTTCAAAAATTTATATGAATTATTAATGTTTGCTTATCAAACTTTGTTTTCGAAATAGCCAAAAATATTCTTATTAATTTAACCGCTTAAGTGTCTATGGAAATATGCGACTCTGATGAAATTACACTTAATAGCAGTCGAAAAGCTGTTGTTTGTCTAATAAATCGAAGTAGACAGATTTTATTTTATGTGATGAAGTCTTCGTAAAAAAAACAGGATGCATAAGTTACCTCATATTAATCTAACAATCTATAGAAAATTATACAAAGCTTGTTTTTCAAATGACATTGTAACAAAAGCTATCGAATTCTACATGACACCGTTGATAATAACGAATACTTAAGAATATTTATATAAACTTATTGGTTTATTTGACTTTTTTACAAAAGTTTTCATTAATTGAACAAATATATTTAGTTCTTTCTACAGAGATATTTCTATACTAGTCGATCACTTAAATATTTTTGGTGCGCACTATTATAGCGTTTTCTGTAATAATATAATACACATCTTTGTATACATCGCTAATTGACACATCAGGTCCAACTATAATACAGTATTTTCTTCTCTTATTCTATTCTCTTTTTAAAAAAAAATATTTATGTACTGTTCGTAACATTCTCATGTTCTATTTTCTTCTCCATCGTTATAGAATTACCCGTAGTTTAATAAATTGCAATAAAAAGCGAATCGTCAAAAATATGTATAGAAACGTAGGAGGAATAGCGAGGTTGACCGTATAATTAATGATTTTTCACTACATATTTAAATATATATCAAGTATAAATTTGGTTTAATCGATCTACTTTCTTGCACGATTCTATTAATACCTTTAACATTCATATTGTTTTTATGAAGAACAGTACTTAAGAACAAGAAATCGAGAGAAAGATGTGCATGTGAACTGACTACTGTTGGCGTATTCAGACACAATGCATAGATAATATATATGCGCCTATGTTCACTTCTAATTTAATGCAAGTAAAGCTATTATAAATGGTCGGATGAAAGTAACACTTTAGATCAATCACAATTTCTTGTCACTAAGCTGTTATTACATTTCATCAGATAATTGTTGAAAATAGCGGTTAAATTAGAGAGATATATTTTGAGTAATAAATGAAAAATCTAAATTTGTAGTCTCTCTCATTAATTTTTATTAATAAGAAAAGATACACATTGCGAATATAGAACAAGTATTGTCGTACGGTGATCGGAATTTTTTTATTTTAATTATGTATCTAATTATATGAAAATCTAATAATAGCATATCGATTCGATCTATTTAACATTATTTATTCATCTCACTACTATTCTGTTCGCTATATTCAACTATATATGATTGGCTAATTTTTATTGGTCAAATATAGTCTTTGTCTCAGAACAAAGAACAATGCTCAGGGCTGGCTCGACCGGGGGGTTTTCGGGGTTGAAACAACCCCCCATCTTTAAAAGTTTTCATTATTTCCCAGCAAAATCCAAACATTTTCTTGTGTTCTGTTAGCAAAAACGATGCTACACCCCTCAAAAAAATCAGGCACCCCCCCCCCAATGTTGGTTGATTCGGGCCAGCCTTGACAATGCTATAACTATAAAAGAAAGGAAAGAGAACGGATCTCATTTCTTTTAAAGATTGATGCGTCAGTTGTAACATATCGTTGTGTTCATATCCGACATAATCAGAAACATCTTTGACGAGTTTATGTAGTACTAACTAAGAAGTTAACCTTCCCATTTATAATATTTGAGATTTTTTTGAATATTTCCTCTGCGCAAGATGTTTATTCAGATATTCTAGATTATTCGTAAAATGCGCTAGGACAATCGACTGTCATCCATAATTTTCTGTGTTTCACTGAATAAGATAAACGACACTCAATCTTTTTTTTTTATTTTAGTAGAAATAACATTGAGACGGAAATTTCTATGACTAACATGTTAGTATACATTAATTATGGACACGTACTATATATGACTTAAATATATGATCTAATTCTCAGTGTTCCATTTAAAGTGAGAAAAATAGCTATGTTATTGTTTTTGATCAGTTTATAATACTTGTTTCTGATGTTGAATCACGTCCCTAGAATTTTTGGTCTATTTATCTTCCACACAATCGCCATAGTATACTAAGAGTGTCGAAGTGAACACAAAATTACAGTACGGTTTATTCGTTATAAAAGGATTAAAGTGTTTCTTTTGTGTGAATATTACGGATTCTTACAGCGAAAGAGTAATATAAATAACTAGCCGAAAAGGTCAGAAATAATAAATTTGAGGTAGTTAAATACTGTTCGACAAATATATTTCAATTTTAATTATTTTATTACAATTTAAGTGACGCTTCTTTCTTCTTCGAAGATGGTCTTTTCAATGTTTGATAAAAATTGTACAAATAATTTAATCACGAAAACAAAATAAAATGGAAGAAAAATAGAACAGGCTGTATATTTCTTTTAGTCTAATTTCATAGTGGTACAGAAACTAAAACGATTATAATACCGACCAGGTAGACGCGATTCTTTTCCGTACGACTATGAAATTAGACTAATAGACATATATAGCCTGTTTTATTTTTCTTCCATTTTAGTTTGTTTTCGTGATTAATTTATACAATTTTTAGGAAACATTGAAAAGATCATCTTCGAAGAAGAAAAAAGCGTGACTTAAATTATAATAAAATAATTAAAATTGAAATAAGGTTATCGAACAGTATTTAACTATCTCAAATTTATCGGTAATTTTTCTATCAACAAAATAGGCCAGAGATAATGCGAAAAAATGATTTCTGTTGTTCACATTATTTTTTTATCTTTTTTAACCATTTTCACTTAATCAGAAGTAACCATTTTAATGTTTACATGAAAAGCATTTTCAGACATTTTTTGTGATCGTTTTACATCATTATAATTATGTATGTTTTTAAGCATTTTAATATCATTTCACCATTTTGCTCCCTGCCTGGGAAGTCATATATGCTATTACTTCTATAAATATTTGCTTTCTATTTTGATAAAAATCAATAGCATGCAAATTTAACAAGGATTCAAGACTCTATATTTTAGAAAAATAAATTCAGTTCGAAACTTTCACCAAGTGAATAGAAATATTGAGAGAGTAGTACTGAGACTTATTAGTTTTATATAATATAAATCACTTTGAAGAATATTAACATCCAGATTAACAACAATTCTGTTTTTGTCTTTTATTTAATATTTAGAAACATTTTAATTCTACTTTATTCATAACAAAGTGAAAAATGTCAGTGATCTCTACACTTAATCTTATTCAACAATATCTTACTATTGTATTAGGATTACTTCTTGTTGTTGGTGTCTTTGGTAATATATTTAATTGTCTTGTATTTCTTCGAAAACGATTACGTTCTAATGCATGTTCAGTTTTCTTTGCTGCTGCATCGATTGCTAATATGACAGTTATGATTTATTATATTATTCCAACTATTCATTCAGTTTATAATTCACCACCAGAAAATGGAAATCTTATTTATTGTAAAGTTCGTTTATATATTCGAAATGCTTTATTAGTTATTTCACGATCTTATTTAACATTGGCTTGTATTGCATGTTATGTTCAATCGTCAAGAAATGCTCGAATACGTGAAATATTTAAACCAAAAATTATTGTACGAGTTATTATTATGGTTCCTATAGTTTGGTTTATTATACCATTACATATACCTTTAACAACAACTATACAAAATGGGAAATGTTTAATGTGGGCAGGTGTTGCAGCTCTTTATCATTCGATTTATATTTGTTTTGTTGCTGCTATACTTCCAACTAGTTTGATGGCTATATTTAGTTTTATGGCTTATCAAAATTTAAGACGAATGACACGTAATGTACTTCCTCAGAGTTCTACAGGACAAAGTCATGAAAAATCATATAATCAACAGTCAGAAAAAATGCTTCTTCAACAACGTGATCGACAATTAAGTAAGATGTTATTTGTACAAATTATTGTGTATATGAGCTTTACCATATCTTATCCTATTAATACATTATACAATGCAGCTGTTTTGATTATTGGAGGACCAAAATCAACAGAAAGAGCAGCTATTGAAAATTTTGTTTTATTTATTACTTCTGCTTTTCTTCTAAATTTCTATAGTGCAGCTTCATTTTTTGTTTTTCTTACATCACGTGCATTTCGAAAAGAATTACGACAAATCTTTGCTTGTATTCTACCTCGATGGATTGGTATTGGAAATTAATCAAACAATTATCATTTGACTTATAAATATGATGTAAAAACAAAAAACAAACTTTATTATTGTTGTCTAGATGTTGTGAAAGCTTTTATCAGTTCATAAAACTGAAATAATGTAAAAATGCGCAAAAAAAAATAATATTTTCATGTTGATTCAATTCATTGAGTGTTGTTGACTGTAAAACTTCATTTGCAATAAAACATTTTATCAATACTTGCCTATCACAATTCCTGAAGATATCGTTTAAGCAATAAGAAAGCATATAAACAGATCAAAGACAATCTGATTGCTGTAAAAATAATTCATAACAGACAAGACTCTCACGGATAAAAAATGTTAATGAAATCAAATCATGTACTAATTACTGATATTGTATTATCATACAATTTCTAATATCTGATAGTATAGGTAGTTCAAAGACGTTTGTAGTGATGCTAGACAGAGTGTAATAATAACAGAAAAAAAATGAGAGATGACATGAGATTAACAAAAATAACACGAGTGTAAATGTACTTTAGACAAAATTAGTAAATCAATATTGAATTACAATGGAATAGAATAGAAAAGTTATGATAAGTTTCATAGCTATTTCATGCACATGAAACGTATATTGGTATTTTTAGGAAAATGCTTAAGCTATAGCATTCGCATATTAACATTAAAAATGTAAAACATCGTGATAGAGCTATTCTTGATAATCACATGAAGATTGTTTTATTCTATAACACATTTCTTCACTATTCCGTTTAAGGAGATGTTTTTGATACACAGCCTACAATCGCATATCAACAACTGCTGATTTTAACATGTAATCGAAAAGTAATTTGACAAGTTACTTCTCCGTTTTTACAGCTTCTTAAGAAAAATCACAGAAATTTGAAAATATTAGATGAAAATTGAAATTGCTATAGGACTTCTGGTTTAAGAATTATGAGCAGAGCTTCGACGAGTGCAAAAATTAAGTTTAGATGGGGAAAATTTACATTTTTTTTGTAGAGAGTGTCCTTTACTGCATATGCTATCATTCAGGAATAGCCGTACTCTTTTTCCAAGCCTGTCAACTAACTAATTATTAATGTGTCATACGAAAGAGAAATTTTGGTTCTTTCCTCCTCTATGTTTGAAATAATTTTCGTTTTCTACTATTGATAATTCTCAGAGAACTGAAATAAAATGATAAATATCACAAAGTACTAGATATCTAACTTAAAAATATTCGATCAATACTAAAAAATGAAGTTGAAGAAAATAGCTATCAGAGATGAAACATCATTGTTATGATGAAGAACTCTAAAGAAAAAAAAAATTCACGTTTTGACAAACATGAACCTATTAGAAATTATTTCGTGCTCGTATTCATCTCATCTTTCTATTGTAAAAACACTAATGATCATCATTTTTAATAAGATCTAGTTTGAACTACCTCGTGACAAAAATTTTTCTCAGTCAATATAACATAAAATTTTAGAGATTCACTAAATTGGACACTGAAAATTGTTATAATACTTATTAGGCAGCATTGATTAGTTTTATTTTCGATGAGCTTTAATTTGATATAATGGTTCTTGTTAATATTGTTTGAAATAACAGTGTTATCCCCTTGGGAAAAACATTTTTTTATACTTCTTATATGTGAATGAATTGCAGCTTTATAATCACGATTGAGATTATAACTGTATTTAACTAATAACTTCTGTTTCTCTTGACTTATTCAGACAGATATTTTTACATAGTATTCTTCTTCGGACACATCACTGCCTCAAAAAAATCTCTTTTTTTTTTTCTTCAATACTTGAGGTTTATAATAAGAATGATCAATGATTTGAACTCGTTTCCTCAAAAAGTTTTGCCGTTGAAACTTTACAATCGTATTCGAATATATTCTTTTGAGCTCTATTAGAAAGAGTACAACTATTTCATGAACTAAGCTCGGTTCATAGAACTTTTTAGAGAATTGCATGAGCTAATTTTTAAGAAAGATCCTCGCAAAATATTGACAGGCTTATTTGTTTTGCCATAGTCAATAGAATATGTAAATAAGAATACAACAAGCAACTTTGTGGAACTCAAATAGATTTTCGAAGAAATGTAGTAAGTATAATTTTAAATTAAGATTTTTTTGACTCTCGCGCTCGTTAAAGATCTTAGGTAACCAGTATTAACGGTATTCAACAATGTTAATATTACGAAATAATGTAGTTTCTGATTTTTTCATAGATAAACGATTATATGTTGGACATCAAGGTTTTTTACTGCTTACAACTGTCATATGACTAATAGAAAGGCGTGGCCGGATTAAGCTCTAACACTTTCAAGAATAATCAATTTCAGTCTCACCAAGTCTAGCAAGATACATATAACAGATCGTTAATATCTACTGTAGATATAACAAATGGTATACAACAGGCTCATCTGTCTATCAAATTAATGTTTAAAGTAATAATGATAAATTCTAAAAATAGAACATGAATACCATCTGTATAATACCAAGACAACTAATAGAATGAAAACAAATTTTGTAGAAAAATTTTTTATAAATATAATAAAGTTAAGTGATACATGTGAGTTCAACATTTCAGTTCTCGAAGGTTTGTACTAACAAGATTTTTCAATAATATTTTAACAAATAATCAAAATATTCTTTTCAAATTTGCAAAATACTATCATAATACTTTTCTTTTTCGAATTCTTAACTACCTTAAATACTTGATTTTTATTTGAAAATATAGAATTGTTACGTTAGTTAGCAAAAACAGAGTTCAATATGAAATTATCCAAGAGGTCACTATACACCAATCATTGTTCATGTTTCTTTCATAGATGTCACATGAAATATTCGAACAAATATATATTCCACAAATAAATGTTTATAACTTAGTTACAATAGATTCTTATGATAAGAAATAAAAAAAAAACTTTGTTTTTCCTTTATTCTGATCGCTTATCAGTCCGAATAATACCAATGCTCAAAGGAAATTTTTCTTTTTTTTTTTTTTTTTTTTTTTCTTGTTTTGTTTATTTGTTTATTGTTTGTCTAGAATATTTTTTTTAACATTTCATTTTAATCTTGATTTTAAAATCGAGTACGTGTCAAAGAATTCAAACAACAACAACAAACAATTTACAAATCAAACAATGAAGTTTTAACTTTTAAGATTAATATGTAAATCAATGGACGGTAGTGAAACACAAATATCATATCAAAACGATAGTCAAACAACAGCACCAACAATGGGTACTATTGATACACATAGTCCACTTTATACAGTACCTGGTATACTTCATTTTCTTCAACATGAATGGACAAGATTTGAAATTGAACGACAACAATGGGAAACTGAACGAGCCGAATTACAAGTAAATGAAAACATTTGTTTTTTTCGTTTAAATTTAAATTTTGTTTTTTTTCTTTTTATTATTTAATTTTAAATAATAAATAGGCACGTATAGCTTTTCTTCAAGGTGAACGACAAGGACAAGAGAATTTAAAAACTGCACTTGTTAGACGAATTAAAATGCTTGAATATGCTTTAAAACAAGAAAGGTTCAATGTTCTTTTTATTTTTATTTTTGTTTCATTGATTAAGTAAAACAAATTGTTTATATTTAGATTAAAATATAATAAATTAAAATATGGCAGTGAAACTGTTCCATTAGAAGATCAAAAACCATCATCAAATGAAGGACAAACAGGATTTGATGATGGTAAAATTTTCATAAGAAAAGAAAACTTTTTTTAAAACTTTTTTGATGTCATTTACAGATGAAAATAAAGAAGATCCAACTTTAGCTTTTGGTGGTAGTAGTGTTTCTTTTAAACAAGGTCGTCAATTACTTCGACAGTAAATAAAAAAAACTTATTTTTCTTTAATTAATTGACTTTGTTGTTTTTTTTTTTATTTATTAAGATATTTAAAAGAAATTGGTTATGTTGATACAATCATTGATATACGTTCCACAGCTGTTAAAAAACTACTGGGAATTAAAAGTGAAACAAATCTTAATGGAAATAATGTATCTAATTCTGCATCATCAGGTTTAAATGGTGATGCAAAAATAATGAATGAATCAAAAGGGTAAATAGAATTTTATTTTTTTTTTTTCTTTAATAATATCTCATTAAAATGTACTTTGAAAGTATAATTACTAATTTCGAGTACATTAGATAAATCATTAGTATTTATTTTGTTGAGGATTATTGTTTTTTTTTTTTTTCTTTGAAAAATCGCTTCAAGGATAAGTACGTACTTATAAGAAAATAATCTTCACTATCAGATCATATTTTAACTATAAATAGTTTTCAAGATATATCTAAAAGATAAAATTCTTAGATGATATTAAAATTGTAATGATTAGAAAACTTCTTCTCATACTAATTTATGTTTCTCGAACTGATAGAATAAAATCTGTGTGGGCGTATTTTTTTTAACGGATGTCGAATTTCTTATGCACGACATTTTGAAGGAAACGAAAAAATTTCCTCTCGATTTTTGCTATAGCTTTGAAGTATATTCTATTAAATGCCATATAAATAAAGATTTTTCATTGATAGTCAATACTTTTCTTTAAATTCAATTCTTATAATCATAATATTTAAAGTATTGAGAGTAGAAATTATGAATCTCGGATATATGCATGAAAATTTATTCTTCATTTTTCTTGGAAATAGTACGTTCGATCAAGTTGAAACTCTTTTGTACAAAGATTGATGCACTTGAAATATTGTGATTAAGAAAATAGAGCAATTTTTAACTTTTTCCGTCCAGATATTTCCTAGAAAGAAATATTTATTAGTTGTTCTCCTTGAGTTATAATTATTTATATGAATTTTTAATATATATGAAAAAAATTTATAAACAGTTTTAGTGGATTAGGTTTTTTTTACGTAAATTATATATTATATTTAATGAACACCTAATATATTGATTCTATGAATAATATTGACAAGAATGTGTTGAAGCGAAATAAAAATATCTTAATATTAAATATTAAAATTTATCTAT